CAGGAGGACTCCCAAGTTGCGGGCCCTTTCTGAGGGGGTTAAATTTTGTCCCCCCAGCCTGAGTGATGGTATGGTGGTCAAATTTTTGGGAGGGAAACACAACAGCCACTCGGTCTTGAACTCACATCATTATGGTAGCATCACATGACATATTGGGACTCCCCCCCCCCTTGCTAAAATGGGCATGGGCAAGACCAATGCATGACATATCTGGCCTGTAGGCCAGGAGTTTGACAGCCCTGCTCTAAACAATCTAGAGTCTAGATATTCTTTATAATTTAATGAAATACAAGTATACTTCATTTAATGATAAAAATTGAAACAGACAACTAAGCAAAAAAAGGGAAAATCATGTCACCATGTGAACTTATGATGACAGTTCCAGCAATAATGATGTCATGTAAAGACAACTTGTGACTTCCTGCCATCTTCCCATTGACTTTGCTTGTCCAAAGCCAACAGTTACAGTTACAAATGATGATCACATTATGGTGGAATGCTATGACCATTGTAATTGCTTGTCAGTTGCCAAGTATCTAAATCATGTTCACATGGCTGCAGGGACATTGCAGCAGCTACAACTTGAAGGACTTATTGTAAGTCTCCTTATTTAGCATTGTTGTAACTTTGAACAGATATTGAATGAGCTGTCGCTAGGCAAGAACTATAAAATAAAATAAAAGCTACAGCTTACAAACTATTTCAAGAATGTGAAGCACACATTTTAATAAATTAAAATAGATAATTGATAAATGTCTATGAATAAAATAAATTACAAAATTATGTACCATGTGGAAAAAAGAAACCTGGAAGCCAAAAACTGCTAGGATGTCCTTGATAACTGGCATGAAACTCAGGATATTCACCAAGATGAGGTAGTATTTTGCTTTGTCTCTGAAGCATCAGTAAATCATTAAACCTGTTCAAAATATTAGTAAGTTTAAGACTATTACATTTCTCAGTAGCTAAATGAAATTAGTGTATTACTGTATATTTCTAAGTAGCTAACCAAACAATCCAGTAATTTTGATACAATTCAACTGTATAATTTCTGCTAGCAATTTTTCGCTCTCTAGGAACACAATGGAGTTCTCAGTTTCACATAAACTGACCTTCACCAGTGATGGGATTCAAATAATTTAACAACCAGTTCTCTGCCCTAATGACCAGCTGAGTAGGTGTGGCTTGGTGGTCATGTGACTGGGTGGGTGTGGCCAACTCAGCATCACTCACTTCGATGGGAGCTTCGCCTTAGCTGTTACAATGCAATAAGGGTTAACTGGAGAGGCAGTTTCTGTAAGCAGGGCACTAAAGATCAGGCTAAAAACAACACCTGAATGTTTCCTTCCTGCCTTCCTTGCAGGATTAGCCCAGTAAAGTGTAAAAAAACAAAATGAGATTTCTTCCAACAACCGGTTCTCCGAAGTGCTTAGAAAGTTAACAACCGGTTCTTTCAAATAGGTGCGAGGCGGCTGAATCCCACCACTGAACTACACCAATATGCAATTAATTCTTACATTGCAAAGTGGCTCATAATCTCAAAGCTTGGACTGGAAGGATCAGAAAATCTCAGCCCAACTGTTACGATTTTCATTCCACAGAGAAGATTGCAGTTGCACATTCCACCTCTCACTGTGATATATATAATTGTATAGGGTGGTTGTGAGAGAGAGAGATAATATCTACAGTTCTATAATATTAAGGCAGGATCCAAATGCCTGAGAATGCCATCCAATTTGTAGAACATTCTAACAGATATGAGTAGAAAATTCATTTTGCAAATGCCAATTTTTATATATTTTACTATCATGTTAATAGTTCTCTTGAAATCAAATGCAACTCCAGCTGGACAGACGTGGGGAATGTGAGCTCTGGAGAGCCTCACATGAACCCTGTCTGAAAAACTTACTCCAGTAATCCTTTTTTGGATCAGAACCCTCCTGGAAGGGGGGGGGCAAAGAGGGGCAGTGCTCACGAGACCCAGAGGGAGGCAACAGGTCCCTCGCAGTTCGAAGAGTTGCCTTATGAATTGGAGTGAGGGTGGCAGCCTGTATATGGCTGACAAGATGCTGACATCCTGTCTAAGCAAATGAACAGGAGGGTGAGGAAGAGATGAAAGACCAGTAAGAAAATTTATCTAACTCACAGCCATAAATCAAACCTGATAAAGGCAAAGAAATTTTGAGAGCATACATAATATTGATGGTCAGACTGGGATTTTTCCAAAAGAAAGAAAGGAAGGAAAGAAAGAAGATGGGAAGGTTGAAACACCAGCCCCCCCAAAAGCTATTTTGCTAGAAACAAATTCAGACAGAAAAGGAGAAAGCACAAAAGTGACCAACCCACTCATATATAAACTCTAAATTTGGATTTGGATTTGAAATACAAGCCAAACATTCCAAAGGATTTACTTCACTTTGAAGCAAATCCAAAAAATCAAGAAAAAAAAAACACTGATAACCTAACCTTGACTGTGCAGGAAGTTTTAATTAACCAACAGCCATAAATCAGCATCTTGAAAAGCAAGAGGCAAAAGATAAATGTACCCGAATCTGGCTGTTTGCAAGTTTTGTTCCAATTATTATGTTTTGAGCAGCTGTAGTTGATCAGAGACGGAAGGTGACAGGGGAAATAATTATTACAGAGTTAAGAACTGGGAAATGCGAGGGTTTCTCCCCCCTCTTTCGTCCTTTTTTTTCCTCTGCAAAAGAATAAGATGGCCTCGGCTTCTCTTCTGATCTCACAGTAGTTGAAACTTAAGGTGGACCAGAGCCTCAAAATAAGACTTGTATAACGAACTGCAATTTTGGAACTGGACATTAAGGAAGAACAAAAGACCTAAATGGCTCCCATCACTCTTCCCCTCAGCAGCTGAAGTAGATAAATTTAAGGTGGACCAGAACTCTGAAATAAGAACTGTATAACTAACTATAACTTTGGAACTGGACATCATGGAAAGCTGGGAATTTGAAGAACTACGTGAAATTATAAAAAATATGCATAAATCAATAAAATCATTAAAATCAAGCCTCACTAGAATTCTGAACCCAGAGAAACAGATATGTAAAGAAGAAATTAAAGAAGAAGGGGGGAAGTCAACGAAGGGGTACAAATGGAGGAAAATAAAAAGCAGACAAAAAACTCCATTAGTCTTGGCAGTGGTCTAGGGAAAACTGTAAAAAGAGGAGATGTCCCAACAAAAGGGAATAAAAAGCAGACAAAAGGGTTTGAGACTGTTAGTGGAAAATTGAAGTAGGAGGTTTTGCCCCAACAAAGAGAAATATAAAATATCCTTTTGATGGTACCTGTGGAAAATTGACGAGAGTGGATGTGTCAAAACAAAGAAAAGGGAGAAGACAGGAACAAAGAAATGGGACAAAAGACTTACTAGGAAAAAATTAGACAACTAGAAACTTTTATATGGGAGAATATAAAGCCAAGATAAGGGTCTTATTCTTAAATATGACAATAAAATGGAGTTGCCAATTGGTTGGATATAATAATGGAAAGATAATTAAACAAAGGTTAAAATACATGGAATATGGATAAATATGATATTGATATGGGGAGGATGTAAAGCAGAGGTTTGTGATTCACTTTTATACATGATAATTAAACCGAGATGTGAATTGAATATGTTGTGAATATGACAATAGAAGGACAACTAAGCATGGGTTAAAATATATGAAACATGGACATATATAGAATTTTTAAGATGATGAACAAAGTGAGATGTTTACTGCTGTTATTCTATATAATAGAATAAGGGAATTGTAATTAACATTGAACAGCGAGGATTGCCATTTATAGACAACTAAGGGTAATTTAATCTAAGATATGGAAAATGGAGAGGGAACATGAAATACATCTACAATGGAAACTATTGAGATTTAAAGACAGAATCACTAATTGGGGGCATGTAAGGATGTATAAAGATAAATATATAAAGATAATGATGAGAATAGCTGGGAACTGTAACCAGGTCTACATCTCAGCCAAAATTAGGCTGGTGGGGGGGAGGGTTTTAAAATTACAATGACTATATATGTACATTTTTTGTTCTTTTTTTTAAAAAAAGGAGAACATGTTAAAATTAAATATGTATATTGAAAAGGAATTATAAATACAATCAACATAAAAAGGAGATTGCTCAGAAGCTGAAATACACCAAGTAAATGAGATGAAGAGTGGGAAGAAGAGAGGGATAGGAGAGAGGG